GGGGGGGGGGGGGGGGGTATGCGTGGAATTTTTGTATATCCCTAATGTGGTGACTGTGCCATGCTGCTCTTTTGTGGGTAGGTGAAGGTGTCCTGCCAAATACTGAAAACAAGAAAAAACAAACACACGAGCACCACAGCCTGATAGATTGACTGTAAAGTAGTAACAATGTAGCACTACGTGTTTCAAAACTTACTATTGAGTGGCAACAATTGATGTTAAACTGCATGAAAAAGTCCTGTCAAGTGAGTGTATTCGGATAAGCAGAAACTGCCAAAAAATGGGATTAAAAGGACACTTGCATGGAGGTGTACAAGAAGAAACTCCCCATCACAGGCTCCCCGCTTCACTCTCCACCACCACGGACAGCCGCCTCCCCATCACAAGCTTCTCGCTTCACTCTCCACCACCACGGACAGCTCCTGTGCTCCAGCCACCTCATCATTCCGTGTCCCTTCCCCAACACACTGCACAGCTGCCGCATCCCTTGTAACATCCGACATTCTCTCCCACATCAACTGGCTCCCCCACAGCCCTTCCCCCAACACACTTTTCAGTTGCTGCACCCGCATGCAACAGTTTCCCCCGCAGCCTTCGACCAACAGAACTCCTAAAAGGACGGATCCCTCCACCTTGCCTCCAAGTCTGGAATCCAGCCGTTGCCACCAGACACCGTTCCACCGGACCAGGTTGCCGATCCTTCACCGCCAGTGACAGCATCCCAGCCTCTGCAGCTCCATTCACACAACTGACAATAGGGGAGTTTCTTCTGATACACTTCCATGTTAGTCTCCTTTTAGTCCCTTATTTTCAGAATGTTTTAATCCCATTTTCTGGCAGATTTTTTCTTATCCATATACACACACTTGACAGGACTTGACAGGACTTTCCCTTGCAGTTTAACATCAAATTGTTGCCACTCAATAGTTTTGAAACACATAGTGCTACATTGCTTCTTCTTTATACTCCAATCCATCCGGCTGTGGCGCTCGTGTGTTTTTTTTCTTGTTTTAAGCACTTTAAAAACTCCTCATTCAACTCTGTAGCTGTTGGCATTGTGGAGCAATGTATTGTTACAAACCTCAATAAGTAGTTAAATCACATCTCATTTACGCTTTACTTTTTTATGGAGAGCAGAATCTTGGCAGCCTGCCAGCCTTCTAATGTAAACAAATAACAGGTGCTTATAAGCTGCTAGAAACCAACTGAAAAACCAACTTCAGATTCTCTGTAGTGATCAAAGTTTTTTAGGATTAATTAATTCACAGTGCATGCTTACCTATGCATCTAGAGAGGTCAGTGATAGCTTGCTATAAAGCTCTTCTACCGCTTAAGAATATGAAAACATTTTAATTTCCAAAGTCTAGGCAGTGAGGTAGGCGGAAAACAGACAAAACACGAATACCCTAAATATAATAGCAGAAAAAACTAGAGAATTTCCTGCAGCTCAAAGCTTCCTGAAGAACTTTATGCACAAAGCTTGCATCGGAAAAGGCCTGAATATCCACCTGCTAAAACTTTTAAAAGTCTGAATAAAAGACCAGGTGGCAACCCCCAAATCTGGCAAACAGTTGCCTGATGCTGAAAAGCCCAAGAAGCACTCATAGATCTAGCAGAGTGTGCTTTGACAGGAAAAGGTTGGAATCAGATCCTTAAAGGAGAACTATGGGGTCAGGGCTTTTCCCAATAGTTCTCCAGAGTGAAAAGCACTCCTCATAGTTCTCCTTTAAGACCATAAGCTTGAATGTTACATTTGCCTGAGGCACCAAAAAATGGTGGTTCGAGAAGCTGGTTCCTCTGTGCAGGGACCATTAGGAATGACAGTCAGTCATTCTTCCTAATGGAAGCAGCGGCTGCAAGGTAGACACATGCAGCAAGAACTACATCCAATGTACGGAAATCTCCTTCTAATGTACTGGAGATAGACAGAGGGACAGAAGCACAATATTCTGGTTGAGGTGAATGGCCAAACTCACCAACATCTTGTCCTTGTTTAAGACTAGAAAAGGTTCTTTACAGGGCAAAGATATCAGTTTAGACACACACCTACAAAACTGGTGGAGACAAGGAATACAACCATGTGGGTGGGAGTGGAATGGGGAATAACCCTAATGAGTTCAAAAGGAGGTTTTGCAAGTGCCAAGAGAGCCAAATTCAGGGGAGCTACATGAGAAACGTAGTGTACAAAGGTCTTAAAGAATGGGAGGCTAGCAGCTTCTGGAATAAGATTTAATGTGCAAACATGTGGCCCTTTGGTCCAAGCCTGATTGGAAAAAGGTCAGGATTCATCCCACAAAGTATCTTTTGGGATGAAAATTGTTTTCTTTACACCAAGCAAAGGGAGCATGATTGATGTAGAGAGGTGGACGCTGGCCACTGACGTGATATTGCACCCTTCCCTATGGCACATATAGAAGGATTGACACAGGAGGGGGTGGAGTTCAAAGGGATGGACAGAGTGTACCATAAGACCGGTTGTCTTAGTCTGGATAGATGGCATCATTGGTTTAGTTAAAAAGCCGGAATCGGAAGCTGCAAGTGATTACGTGTTAGGGGTGGATTCTGGCCATTGGTTACTGAAACTAGACCCTCCCCATGGGTGTCTATAGGAGTGACAGAGATGAGGGGAGATTTGAAGGGGCCGGACAGGATACAAAGTGGGTTGTTGCACTAACAGGGGATGGAACTACTAGTTTGGGTAGAACAGGATTCAGCACCTTTGTGAACACCCACAAAGCCTTAGAGAGACCAAAAGGGAAGTGCTACAATTTATAAATGGACTGGACCCAAGGCAAAATGCAAGAATCTTTGGTGCGGTGGAAAAATTGGTACATGCAGGTAAGCAATAGGGATGCCCAGATACCAAGTACCGTACTTGGTACAAGTGCCGATACTTTTTCAGTTCCAAGACTAGACTAGAGAAAAACTCAAAAGTTAGGAGGCAGCTGTCATTTTTAACCACTTGCTGACGAACGACATCACTTCCTGCACTCAGAAGAGGAGGAGATCAAACTGAGCTTGTGTACTGAGCTCCGTTTGATCTCCGGCCACAGAGCTGCTGTGCTGGTCCCGGGTTCGCACCGGGCACATCGGAGCTCAGGATCGCCAGCAGCGGCTGAGGGGGGGGGGCGCACACCCGCACGCTTATTACAAGCGATCGGGCGTCTTTACAGACGCCCAAACGCTTGTATGTAAACAGCCATCGCTGGCTGTTTACATTGCAAGCTGAATTCCCGCTAGGCGGCGGGCACGAGCGCGACAAGGTGGTACGTTTAAAACGCCCACCCGCATTCAAGAAGCTGCTGTCCGGCCGTTTAATTACAACAGCCGGACAGCAGGTGGTTAAGGAGCATTGGCTACGGCGTTCCTGAGATTTGTGCATCCGTGTTTTAATGTATGATTTGTTAATATATTTTTTTTTCCCCAGACCAAGTACAAGTATTAATACTTTACCAAGTACTCATACAATTACTGATACCTTTTTCTTTAGTGTCATGTGACAGTTTTTCTAAAACAAAATAGACTAATGATTTCAGGACAGTGGTGGAGCGCCAGGGCCCAGTCACAGCTGCATCTGCTGTGACCTTGGTAGTTCTTGGAAAATGCCAAGTTATCAGCAACCTTGATGCCCACGGACACCAGGAATGCAGAGAAAAGCAATACCTGACCTCCCTGATTCCATGTGAAACTTATGAATCTGCAGGAACACATTGAGAACCTTTCGGTCCAAGACAGGTACAAGACAGGTCACATCCCTTCAGGTATCATCCCTTCATCCGTATTGGAACCATGAAGAGATTGGAGTAGAACCCCTGGAATCTCTATCTTTCTGGGGAACAGGAATGACTACCCTGGAGGCTAGAAGTTGATTCAATGCCTTGTGCAACTCCCCTCTGCATTGGGGGAAAATGGGCATATTGGAGGGCAGAAACTAGGGGGTATAGAGGTAGGGGTGTGATGACAGACATTGGGGAGCGCACATGGCATGCACACCCACTGTATAAACAAGGAAGTTTATAAATGTGCTGTTCTTACAGCAGTTTGCCCAACCAGCCTCTTAACTACAATAGCATGTCGGGAGGCGGTTATGTTCAACTGCTGGTAGGAAAAACATCACTTAAGTATAAGTATTTTATTGTGTATTTAACTGGAGTTCTACTTTTAGACCATCACAAGATAAGCATAAATATTACCTTTTCCATGTCTTTAAAATCATCATCTAGTCTGGTCCCTTCTGCTCCTCCAACTTTTTCACTCACAAGCTGAAAAGGCAAAAAAAACACACATTACAAAATGTCTGATAGGACCTTAGATTAAAGGAGAACTATGAGGCGAGTGCTTTTCACTCACCTCATAGTTCTAGCCGACCTGTGACAATGAGACCGTCACAGGTCAGCTCAGTAGATCGGGAGGTGAGCGAACACATACCGGGTTCGCTCACCTCTCGATCCTGTCACGGCTCTCTGCCGTGACAGGGGGAGGGGCTGGATTCCCCTCTCCTAGCTCCGATCTGCCAGCGCTGACTGGCGGAACGGACGGGGGAGGGGTGGGTACACCTGGCTTTGCCTCTAGATGGGTAGAGCCAGCTGTCACTCACTCAGCTGGGCGGATCCCGTCGTCTAAGTCGGGATCCGCTCCGGCTTCTCAGTATACTATTCCTCGCGGTATACTGAGCTTAGGGTAACGGGAGGACGCTAGTTTGTGTCCTCCCATTACCCTAAGGAGAACTATGGGGAAAAACACTGACCCCATAGTTCTCCTTTAAAGCAATCATCTTTGCTTGCGTTCCTTTTAGTAATACAAAGGAACCATCCCCACTGCTGTATATAGTACACATTCTCAATCATAAATAATATATATATCATGCCTATGAATTACAGTAGACTACCTCTTAACATTTTATGCTGTTTTATTACCGTTTTTTACTATACCTATTCCAATTCTTTGTGTACAAAAAAAAAAAAAAAATGAGCCACTGCTCTGGCTCATTCATTTGTGTGTGTAAATTTCAGATTGAGTGAACGAGATCTGTAAATGTGTTTTGTTTTTTTACAAAAGGTAAGGAAAGGCTGGTAAACGGTGAAATGGGTGACTGAATAGATGAATGTACATATATTTCCAATATTTCATATTCACCTAACCAAAAAACGGCCACTGGCTTATTTGCAAAATAGTGCTGAGCCAAACAGGTTAACAGGAACAGAAACAGCTGAGGGAATATAATTTGAACAACTATACTCAAAATATGATGTTGGGAGGATAAGCCTTCAAATCACACTACATGGAAATAGTAAGCAAGCCAAAGTGGTCTTGATGGAAAAGATGTAACCAAAATGCCATTTCTCTCCCTCAAAAAGCTCATCTATGCACAAAAAACAGGACTGGGTACAGAAAAATGGCAACAGGTACACTGGACTGAGGTTACATTTTTGGCTTCAACATAGGGCAATTTGTTTGTCAATGGGCTGGAGAACCATATCTCAAGTATCTGAAAGGAACAGTGACTCACAGTGAAAGATCCTTGAAGATTTGAGGATGCATTTCTGCAAATTAAGTTATTTGGTCAAACTTCATTCAAAGCACCCTCATTGCTGAGAAATACGGGCAGATCATTATCCATCATACAGTAGTATGTAATACAGCAGCCATGATCTTGGTACCGTTCTTTTTAGCAGAGAGGCTCCAGGGACCGGTCTAACAGCCGGCCAGCTGTCAGGTTCAGGCAAATATATATAATGTATTAAATGAATGATAGAACTGTAAACTCCATAAGGGTCGCTAGGAGGAACTCTGATGGGTAGCGTTTTAATTAAGTATCGGTAACAGGATTGGGTATTCATTTTTATCGCATACATTTTACTGCACACTGTACATTCTTCCAAATTGGGGTATTTTATACATTTTCCACTGCATCCCTTTTCCTTTGAGTTTGACGTTTATTTAGAACAACTTTATAATTCAGCCTCTAGTGGGTCCTGGGTGGAACTGGCCAACGTTATGCCCAGATACTTTATTCCCCTGGGTTTCCACAGAAAGTTGTGGCCTGTGTTTTGTTGGGCTTGGGAAAAGCCAAGAGGTAGAGCTTCCAATTTATCAGAATTTTAACATTTATTTAATGTTGACAGCAAGCACGGAAGCATAATAGTGGTGTAGTGGTCAGCGTTTCTGTAACTATCCGAGGCAACCAAATAGGAACAAATCCGCGATAAACACAAGGGCACCGAGGCCAGTGATGGAGAATTGGACAGGTTCTAAAAGGGAGGAGTAATAAGCGCAAAAAGCCTCAGCAATTTCTGACGCTAAGTTCACAACCAAACCCCGGCTGAGATTTCAAGACAGAGACAAAAGTTTAAAGCTGGCCATACACCTTACAATTATCTGCAGCTTTTCTGTGGTCAGATGGAAAAGGTGCAACAGATTCCTCCATCTACACTTAAAAGGAGAACTATGAGATGAGTGATTTCCACTCACCTCATAGTTCTAGCCGACCTGTGACAATGAGACTTCACAGGTCGGCTCAGTAGATCGGGAGGTGAGCAAACACATACCAGGTTCGCTCACCTCTCGATCCTGTCACGACTCTCTGCCGTGACAGGGGGAGGGGCTGGATTCCCCTCTCCCCGCTCCGATCTGCCAGCGCTGACTGGTGGAACGGACGGGGGAGGGGGCGGGTACAGCTGGCTCTGCCTCTAGATAGGCAGAGCTAGCTGTCACTCACGCAGCTGGGCGGAACCCGTCATCTACGTCGGGATCCGCTCCGGCGTATCAGTATAACGCGAGCTGTAGCTCACGGTATACTGAGCTTAGGGTAACGGGAGGACGCTAGTTTGTGTCCTCCCGTTACCCTAAGGAGAACTGACACTGATCCCATAGTTCTCCTTTAACTGTGTAGATGGAGTAATCTTACAACCATCGCAAGACAAAAGTCTTGCGATGGTTGGAAGGTGTATGGGCACCTTTAGACCTTTGTTGACGAGATGCATGTGCTATGGACCAGCTGCACTGCTTACTGTTCAGTAGCCTAGTGGATAGCACTTCTACCTTGCAACACTGGGGCTCCCTGGTTCGAATCCCAGCCAGGTCACTATCTGCAAGGAGTTGCATGTTCTTGCGTGGGTTTCCTTCGGGTACTACAGTCTCCTCCCAAACTCCAAAGAGGTTGAAAAGGAAGGTTAATTGGCTCCTGTCTAAATAGGCCCTCATATGTATGCAGGTGTGATAGGGGCCTTAGATTGCAGCAATTGCTCGCTTCTGTTCTCATCGGCCGCTGCAGCTACAGAGCGGCCGATGAGAAGAGAGAACACAAGGGAACGATCGCCGTGGTAGTGTCCCATCTCTGGTCCCGCCGCCGGCGCTCCTCGATGACATCCGCTGTCCTCTGCAGCTTCCTCTGCCCACCTCAGCTGCCAGGCTGGGAGGAAGACTGCAGAGACGGTGAGACCGGCCATCCAGAAAGTTAGCAGATAGGACATTGTGTGTGTATGTTGAGTGTTGCCACCATTTCACTGTGCCATATTGCGCTAGCGAGCCAGCAGAACTCTCCCACACGCACAATGTGCATTAAAGGGCAAGTTCACTTTCCCAGGTAATATGGGAAAATGGAATTACCCGATCAAATCTGGCCCCCGTCTCTCCCAAAACCCCCCGGCTATACTTACCTTTCGGCAAACAGTCCTTACCCTCCGGCGGTACAGGTGTACTGTCCTTACCCCGTACTGTCCAGCGCAGTCCTGCCCCATGCATTTTGAATTTCGATGAAAATTGCAAGCACTCATTGGTCAGCGTGGTCTGGGAACCACGCTGACCAATGAGAAGCGCTATTTAGCACAGACCAATACAGTTTTGATTAGGGATGCACAGATACAGAGTATTTGGGCAAGTACTTGTACTCGCCCAAATGCTCGATATCTTCTCCAATAACGGAACTTCTGGTCAGAGGAAGATTTCCTCTGACTGGCAGTGCCGTAGGGGGAACATGGAGCCAGCTTCAACGTGCAATCAGGAAGCGGGGCAGCGACTAATGACCCGCCTCCCAGTTTCCTGATTGGAAATCAGGTCATTCCCCGCCGCCCGGTTTCCTGATTGGTCAGGAAGCTGGCTCGATGGTGATTGGCCGGGAAACCGGCTTCCAAGCCATTCACAATCAAGCCGGCCAAACAACATGGAGTCTGCTTCCCCGCAGTCAGGAAGCCGGGCAGCATCTCATTACACGCTGCCCAGCTTCCTGATTGCACGGGAAGCCTGCTCGATGAGTACCGAAAGCAAAATATCGGTACTCGTACTCTATACCCAAAAACCGGTATTGGTGTATCCCTAGTTTTAATTAAAACTATTTTTTTTTTGTATTGGGACAAGTAGATTGTTATGAAGGACAAGTAGATTTGGCCCCTGCTTTAGCCCTTGGACAAGTAGTTTTTTGAAAAATTTCCACACCCCTGGTCTGCTGCTGGGAACTATTGTGGTAGCATTAACTTTGTAGTAGTGGTATTAGTCTGCGAGCTGCTGTGTATAATTCTATAGGCTGTATTGTATTAATCTGCTGGGGAATCACTGTGGTAGTAACTGCGTTGCATTGGGGGTATTAATCTCCTGAGAAATGACTGTGGTAATAACTGTGTTAATAATAATGATTGGTAGTATTAATTTGCGTGGGAATTAATGAAGTTATTTTGAGTTATATCTGGTCCTGAATTAAATAAAAATATATAAAAATTAAAAAAAAATTCTTCCATGAGTGGGAATGCAACCCGGTGCACATCTTGCTCAATGTATGTGTTTCTTGAACATGCATTCAAGGGCGAATACTGTTGCGCCCGATGTGAGCTAGTTGTTTGTTTGGAAGCCTAGATTCTGGATCCAAAACAATAAACTGGCAACACTGAGGAGCATAAACAACATGGAAAGGATCTGACTCATTAGGTTCTGTTGGAGGGTGGTATAGGAGGAGGAGGGGGGCATGGAGGAGTAGGATCCCGAGGCGGGTAGCTGGGTTACCATTAGAAGGCGAGGTGTAGTGCGAGAGAGGCTAGCCCCGAATTGATACACCCCCAATAAATATGCCAGGTTGCAGGATGTTGGGGATATTA